TTTTTTTTTTTTTGGAAAAATTTTTGTTTTATATTTAAAGTGTTAGGTGAGAAAAATAGTGTTGAAATGTGGTGGTTCCTTTGTTTGTTTGTCAAGGCATTGTTGTGTTATTAATTACATGTTGATATAGGTTTGTTTTTCCTTTTTTTTTCTTTACTTTCTTTTTCTTTTATTTTTGAAATAATGTGCTGCCCTTTTACTTTATTTGAATGTTAGACCAAAATAACTTACTTGTTATTGTTCTTGGACTGCCCAATTGCTGTACATTATTAGTTTAATTGCAACTCCAAAGTCACCTTTTGTGTAAAAAGTGTATGAAGCTCTTTAGAACATCTTTAATATTTTGGTATGTTTAGGAAAATATTTTTTTTTTTCCACTAAAATTGAAAACGAACTGAGCTCAACTCTGTAAGTTAAAAAGTCGATAAATAAGCTCGAGTCAAATTAAGCAAATTTTTTTAAGAAAATTAGGTAAAAATTCATATTTACCAAGCCTAATAAGCCTTAAGAAATCGAACTGAGCTCACCTCGTTAATTAAAGAAGCTTGAATTTTAACAAGTCTAGCTCACCTTGTTAACTAAACGAGCTTGAACTTTTAACAATTCTAGCTCACGAGTGATTCGTTTTCGTTTAACAGTTGTGAGTGCCAACATAGGATTTGAACTTTTTGCTTTAAAAAATCTTCAATGTAAACAAAATGAGATTATGTGCAGATTATTATTCAAAGTTTGTCAACAAACTAAACAATACATATATCATTTAATTCTTTAAAGGGGCAGCTAAACAATTATATTATACGCAGAACACTAATAATATATGTAATCTGAAATTTTATAATTTAAATTATTTAAATGATTAATCCATTTGTCACCATCATTAGATCAAAATGAGAATCCCTTAAAAACTGGTAGGAATCATTTGACAGTGTCATTATTTGGATGTATTAAATCATCAAAGTCAAAATCGTGCTAAATTAATCAATTATATCTTAAATTATAAAAATCTACCAAGAGCGCTTGGATGAGATAGTTTGGGTCTCTTCCAGTTTAACCAGTGGTCTCGTGTTCGAGCCCTGGGAATGCAGCAGTGTTAAAACTCTTGGGGAGAGCTTTGCCGCCCTTGTGGTCCTACCCGGCTCGATTCCGAATTAGTCGGTTCCCCTGTGGATCCAGAAACCGGAAGGTCTCTATACCAAAAAAAAATAAAAATTATAAAAATCTGACAATAGGACCCCTTTTCTCTTTTTTTTTTTTAATATTTTTTTTAATTGAATAGTTATTATTTTAGCAGTTGACGAGAAAAAAAACTCAGGACTAGCTTTCATCTTTTCAGACCATTATTAACGCATTTACTGCTGCAAATAACTACTCTTTTTACGTAACACATTAGAATAATAACCGTTATAATCAATAAAAAGTTTTAACCTTAAGATATTCTGTGGGCGCCCAGGGTTTGTAAACTAACTTGTATTAATTAGAATAATAAATAATAAGATAGTAGTAAAATTAATTTTATATATGAGTCCATATTTCTTGTCATAACCATAGTTTACTCTAATTTTCCTATATATGTGTGAGTAAATATAATTATAATATAGTTCAAAATTAGGACAAAATGGGAAAAGTAATTAATACTAGTGAGAAAATGGGTCGATCAAAGAATCTTTCATAAATGAATTATGAAATTTAATATGACTGGCAAGTGGTAAAACAAGTGGTTGAAATTATAATAAAATTTAAAAAATTGTAATATAATTAGAGGTAGTTATTAAATTTGAAATGCAAGTAATAATATATGTAAAATATTTCTCTACTTTGGCTACGTATTTTATCTTTATTAATTGTAGAACAATTGGATGCTACAGAAACTAGATCTAAATTATATGCAACATTTGACCATACTAATAAAATTAGATTTCGGGTCAACCATTAATCGACCAGTAAAATATTGATCAGTCAGTCCAATTTTGATCAACTATTCACGACGATTACATGATGATTTAACTGTTACAAATTTCGACGAAATAGTTCCGTAACGGGACGGTAGCATTTTCTCCAATTTTGAGAATTTTTTTTCTAATAATTGATATTGGTTACATATAGAGATTCTTAAATTCTCTTATTTAACAACGTGGGCCAATACTAATAGTAGCATCATTTTTTTTTTATTTTTTTTTTAAATGAACAAAATCTTTGGTTTGAAAACAAGTTTTACTCTGTGTTTGACTATTGAGGTTTAATAAAGGCTTAATTATAAAGAATCTCAAGTGATTTTTGTCAATATTGTAGTGACAATAATTGATTGTTCAACGTCCTAAGAATCTTTTGTGGACTT